TGAATAAAAAGAAGCTGTGACTCAATATTCCAAATGAAGTTTTAAGTTTTAATTTGGTGCTGATAACACGAGATGACAATATTCTAAACACGGAATTATATTGATGAGATGAACAACAGATTAATTGAATTACCGTGTGAACTAACTAAAAATTGATAACAGTGTGGGCACGCACTTTTACCAGAGTATCAACAAACATTGAATTCCAGAAATTCACACTCTAAAGTGTGTTCTAGAAGGAATTGAATTGTAATTATGATTAAAATCTTATTCAGTGAGCATGGGAATTAGAACATGAGCAAATGATCTATCTCTCTATATAATAAAAAAATAAGGGCAAAATTTAAGACAATTCAGGCGACGCAAAAATTCAGGCGACGCTAAAATTCAGGCGACGCCTAAAGGGGGGGGGGGGGGGGTCAGGGGGGGCCCAAGGTCGGGGGGGTTAGTCTCTAACAGTTGGATTGGGGGGAGAGCGAGCGAAGCGAGCGGGGGGGGGCGAAGCCCCCCGGGGTTGGCGAGCGAAGCGAGCAGGGGGCGAAATAAAGAATTGTGGGCTCTCCTTGACTTCCTAATCTCTAACAGTTGGATTCGGGGGGAGCGAGCGAAGCGAGCGGGGGGGCGAAGCCCCCCGGGGTTGGCGAGCGAAGCGAGCAGGGGGCGAAATAAAGAATTGTGGGCTCTCCTTGACTTCCTAATCTCTAACAGTTGGATTCGGGGGGAGCGAGCGAAGCGAGCGGGGGGGCGAAGCCCCCCGGGGTTGGCGAGCGAAGCGAGCAGGGGGCGAAGCCCCCTAGTTGTAATATGAAAATTTAAGAGCTGATAAATCTATCAATTTCGAGGGAATTCAAGAAGTTTCTAGAAAATTCGAGAGAATGCCAGGAGTTTTCAGCAATTTCGAGGGAATCCGAGAAGTTTATAGAAATTTCGAGGGAATTCAAAGAATTTCTGTAAATTTCGAGAAAATTCAGGGAGTACAAGGAGTTTCTAGAAAATTCGAGGAAAAGCGAAGAGTTTCTGGAAAGTTTGAGGGAATTCGAGAAGTTAAGAGAAATTTTGTGAGAACTCAGGGATTTTCTAGAATTTTCGAGGGAATTCAAGAACTGTCTAGAGCTCTCGAGGGAATTCAGGGAGTTTCTATAAAATAAGAGGGAATACAAAGAGTTTCTAGAAATTTCGAGTAAATTCGACAAATTGATCGAAACTTCCAGGGGATTCAAGGAATTTCTAGAAATTTAAAACGAATTCGAGAAGTGAATCCCAATTTTTTCAATTCACGATTCTGTAATAGAAATACTTGAGAATGAGTCATAGAATAAATTCTATGAAAATGTGAAGCTAGCGATCACCATTTTTATTCCTAACCTGTCTGAACCCCCAAAGAGTAAATTAACAAATCATTTTCAACTCAAAAATAAGATGCAGAAAAAAACAGTTGCCCGTCGTATTGCTTTTCGCAACAAAAATGATCATAAACAATTAATTGAAAAAAAAGAATATCGAATAACGCAATTTAAACCACAAACCCCCTTCATTACCGACCGTCGGTACCGCATAATCCCCTAAAAGCCTAGGGACATTCATCTGTCACATGTCCAGTGCTTTCCCCCGGGGAACGTTGGCCCCTTCGTGTTATTGATTACCAGCATTTTCCGAATGACAGCAAAATCCACTGATAAACCCCCATCATCATTGGACACTTCACCCATAATTCTCCGCCAATTGGCCGACCCCCCAAAGTAACCAGAAATTACCTCTGCGTACGTAATGTGTGTACACACCTCAGTAACCTCTCGCTGAGCCCCAAGTGTATTGTCTCGACAAGGAGATTTGTGTCGAAATAGAAAGAAAAAAAAGAAAACATTGAAGACAGGGGCCCAAGGCTCGCGCGACCGTAAAACGGAATGATGTGCCTGTCTAAAGCTCATGTGTCTTCGATGTTGAGGTGAATGAGACTTCCGGAGTGCGCAAAAAGGTCGGAAAAATATTCAACAAATCGTCAATTAAGTAATCGGGCGAACAAGTCAATTCGAGACTCGATTTTCCCCGGATGTCATTGAAGTGAAGTGATCAGTGGTGATAATTGAAGTGGCATAATCTTGGTGTAGTAATTGTAGTAATGGCGACCAATCTAGAGGAGGAGCAGAGTTTACGGGAGTGCGAGGAGTACGTACAGAGGCACAATATCCAGCAGGTACTCAAGGATTGTATTGTACAATTGTGCGTTGGTAGACCACAGAATCCAATCTCATTTCTGCGTGAATATTTTCAAAAACTAGAGAGGGTAAGTTTTATTTTATTTTTTTTTTCATTTGTTTGTTTTCCTCGTTTTCATTCTTCACTCACATTTTCAACTCATTCACACGGAACGCACGACGCGATGTGGACGAGTCGGGGCTCGTTTTGAGGATATTTTTTCGAGCTTCAAAATGAAAAAAAAAATGAGCAAGTTCACTCTGCCGATCCCGAGTTATTTCTAATTGAAAGAAGCTTGATTTCATTTTCTTCCAGAAGATGATGTAAAAAGTATTTCTTTAAATCGTTAATAGCTCGGAAACAAACGGTGCGATTTCGATAAATCAAAATTCATTTTAAACTCGGAAAAAAAATCTTCAGAATGAAAGAAAAATCGCGGAAATTCACTCTGCCGTTCTCGAGATATCGTCCCTTGTACATCAACTCGTCTTGAAGCCCTTCAACTCACGAATGAAAATGGGATTGTGAATAGGAACATGTAATTCCTCTCGTAATTGTCCATTATAAATGCCCTGGAATGTGTTACATGTCTACCGCGGGGCTCCCCAACCGACGAAAAAAAATTGTCACGCACATGTGCGCGCTGCCTCATTTCTTCCCAACAAAAAATAAAAGAAAAAAAATATTATAAATACTGTCGATTATGAATCATTCGCTTCATTTTTCTTCTTCACTCACGATGCGATGTAAACGTGGTAGGGCTCATTTTGAAGATATTTTCTCAAGCTTCAAAATGAAAAGAAAATTGTAGAATTACACTCAACCGATCCCGAGTTATTCTCAATATAAAAAAAGCTTAATTTCATCTTCTTCCATAAGATGCCGTAAAACGCACCTCCTTAAATCGTCAATATCTCCGGACCCACCAGTGCGATTTCGACAACTCAAAATTCATTATAAACTCTAAAAAAAAATCTTCGAACCAAAAAAAAACTCCCGGAAATGCACTCTGCCAATCTCGAGATATCGTCCCTCACCCATCCACTCGTCTTCAAGCCCTTCAATACTCTAAAAAAAATCTTCAAAATGAAAAAAAATCTACAAAATCTAATTCCCCCCGTAATTACCCATAACAAATCCCCCCGGAATCTATTACACGTCCACCGTAAGGCCTCCCCCAACCGAAAAAAAAATAGTCACGCACACGTGCGCGCGCTGCCTCGTTATTTCTTCCCAAGAAAAAACGAAAGAAAAAAATATATGACCCCTGTAGGTGGATGAGAGGCTGAAGAGTCCCCTCGGTTTTATGATAGCTCGGAGGGAAACGTTATTCTAATCTTAGAATATGCTCGAAATATAACATTCAAGTGACACCTCAGCCAATCCCGGTGGTTAAAAACCCACCTCTCGAGGGGTTGTGGGGGTTCTTCGGCGCGGCGACTCCACGAATGCGGCATTTCTGGGTGGAAATGCGTGGAGGGAAAGTCTATCTCGTCCCCGGGTCAAAGTGTACAACCGTTAAATCCCCTGAAGCCGTGTAAACAATTTTTTTTAGATGACCTACTAGTGGGAATGCCGTGTATCACGATTGAAACGTGAGAAATAACGTATTTCCCGGGTGTTTTGGGTAAAGGTCAGGTGCTCTCGTGCGTCGTAAGCACCTCCTCTTGATTTTCAGTGAACACAAATTGCCGTTATTTCACATTAAAATCGATATTCACACGAATAACAGAATAACAAGATCAAATAGAACTCGTAATCGACGAGAGCAATCGTGAACATGGAAGAGGTACACAAAAAACATGAAACTATTATTAGATGTAACGTGTGATGTGTTATGAGTACATTTTCCTGGATTACATAAAATATTTTGTTTATCGGAATATCCAGGAGCAGGCGCAAGATGCTAAACAACAGATTGCAAACAGTCCTGAGGACATTGAGGACATGCCGGGGGGTCCGCAGGGGCCGCAGGTGCCACGACGACGTGGGGGCATCTCTGCGGAACCTGTGTCCGAGGAGGATGCCACTAGTTATGTCAAAAAGGTCGTCCCCAAGGATTACAAGACCATGGCTGCGCTGAGCAAGGCCATTGCCAAGAATGTGCTCTTTGCGCATCTCGATGAGAATGAGAGATCTGATATTTTTGACGCTATGTTTCCGGTTACTTTTCTACCTGGTGAACCTATCATTCGTCAAGGTGAGGATGAGGGGCGGAGGGGGCGGAGGAATGTCGTTTGAAGGAGGTCAATTGAGAGGATTCGTTCTTATGATGAATTTTGGGTTTTTAATTTTTTTTTTTGAAGGGGATTATCTCGGAAACTAGTGGGTTTAGGGGAAAATGTGTTGGGAGGTTTTTTGTAGAGAATTTAATTTTCCGCTTATGATGTCTTGTGACTTTTTTCTGTAATTCTGGAGGGTGTCGAGATAATTGAGGAATTAGGTTTAATGAAGAATTGTTTTTTTTTATATTCTTGTGACTCAGCATAAATTGACAATTCAAATATCCACTAAACAAAATATTGAATCACAATAATAAAAATAATATAAAATTTAAAAAATGTAATATTTTATTATTTAAATATTCAGTATTACAAAATATTAAAATATTACATTTTAAATGGAATATTTTATTGTTTAAATATTAAATTATTTATTAATCTCTTTCTCTCTGATAAAATGAAGGGGAGAAGTGAATGTGGAGGAATGTCGTTTGAAGGAGTTCAATTTATCTCGGAAACTAGTGGGTTTAGGAGAAAATGTGACAAGGGGTTTTTTGTAGGGACTTTAATTTTCTGCAAAAGATGTCTTATAACATTTTTCTGTAATTCCACTGGGTATTGAGATAATCGAAGAATTAGCAATTGAAATTTTTATCGGTGGAAATTAAACGTTTTAATAGAGAATTCAACTTTCCATTTTTATATTCTTCTGACTCATCGCTGATTAAAAAATTAAAAATTCATTTAACGAATTCAATTGAAAAAATTCATTCTTATGCTGAATTTTGTCGGCTTATCTCGGGAACTAGTGCGCTTACAGAAAAATGTGACAAGATATTTTTTGCAGAGAATTTAATTTTCATTAAAATATGTTTCACGGCATTTTTCTGTGATTCCACTGGGTATTGAGATAATTGCAGAATTAAAAATGGAAATTTTTATTCATGAGAACTTCATAAATTTTTATAATTGGTTGATTATCGCGTAAACTAAGGGGTTCAGAGGAAAATGTCGGGAGGTGATTTTTTCTGGAGAATTTAATTTCCTACAAAAAATGTTTCATAAATTTTTTTGTAACTCCACTCGTTATTGAATCGATTGAAGAATTTTAAATTTGTTATTGATGGAAGTTGAACATTTTTATAGAGAATTGAATTTTTCGTTTCGATATTATTCTGACTCGTCGCAAATTGAAAATTTAAATATTTATTAAACGCATCTGAATGAACCTTGATCGATCAACTCATTCCATAGGCCTCTTGCCCCGTGACAAAATGACAGGTACATTAAAATTGCAGACAAAACGTCCCTTAATATTTAATATCGTCAACAGATGTTAATGTTGATACAATCGATCGTTTCCAGTTGTGTTCCATCAGTCGAGTAAATTCAACACTAGATGCTCCGAAAATTCTTCAAGAATAACCCGATGAATTAATAAAACAGTAGAAAGTCCATAAAAACAGGGATTCCTTTTCCCTTAAAGTAGCTCTACCTTTCGGCCAGGCTACGCTGTACTTTTAGATATTTTCAGTTTTTAAATTTTTCAACCAACTTGCATGGAAAAAATTTGAAAAAATTCACACCCAGTCAGTATTATCTAAATTAAATTTCGCAAAATATTGATATTTTTTCAAACATTTCCCTCTTATAAATGAATAATAAAACTTGTTTTCAAAACTGTGGATCATTTTTTATGAGGTGTCAAAAAAATTCTTGATTTTTTCACATCTAATGAAAAAAAATTCAGATTTTAATCGTTAATTACAATGGAAATGTTGATTTTCACATAAGACACCGGGTTAAATCCTGATATTTAAACATTTCTTCTTTGAAAAACCGAAACGATAATTAAGGCCCGGGTGTACTATCTTTCGAACGTTATCTCGATGTTTTTTTCATCTTTCGTCATCTGAAATTGTCAATTGAGCCCTGCATCATGCAGAAATTTTGAAAAATCATGAATGAATAATAAAAAAAAAGTAGAAGAAATTCCTAATTTTTTCAAAGAGTATTTTTAATTTATATTCAGAATAAGTTGAATAACAAGAAATTAAAAAATTAGAAATTTTTGGGAATTTCTACATGATGTACCACTCAATTGACAATTTTGGATTACGAAAGATAAAAAAAATCCAGATAGCATTCGAAAGATAGTACAGCCAGGCCTTAAATTGCGAGAAAAAATTAGAATTCCGAATCTACTCGAGTTTTCTGCAATTTTTTTGCAGTTGTCAATAATCTCTGAATGTACCGTAAGGGTAGAGCTACTTTAAACCGTTTTACCGCTTCGCCACTGATATATGTGGAACGTCCCTTCCACCCTCCGTTCCACTTTCATATGTTCATTCCAATCTGGCGGAAAAATCCGAGAAATGTTTCTTCCAGGGGACGAGGGGGACAACTTCTACGTTATTGATCAGGGCGAAGTAGAGATATTTGTCAATGGTGAACTAGTAACAACGATAGGCGAGGGCGGAAGTTTCGGTGAATTGGCTTTGATTTATGGCACCCCACGTGCAGCAACAGTCAGAGCAAAGACGGACGTTAAATTATGGGGAATCGATCGTGATTCCTATCGTCGTATTCTCATGGGCTCGACCATAAGGAAGAGAAAAATGTACGAGGAGTTCTTATCGAGGGTCTCCATTCTCGGTTTGTATTCTCAGGAAGCTCCTATCGTGCACTTTGATGAATATGGCTTATGATATTGTTCACCTTGATCTAGAATCGCTGGATAAGTGGGAACGTCTAACCGTTGCCGATGCCCTTGAACCTGTGGTATTTGAGGATGGTGAAACTATAGTGAGACAGGGTGAGCCTGGCGAGGATTTCTACATTATTGTCGAGGGTACTGCTGTTGTTTTGCAGCAGAGGAGTGAGGGGGAGGATCCTACGGAAGTCGGGAGACTTGGGCCCTCTGATTACTTTGGTAATTTATTCAAATGTGAATTCAACGGAAATTTCTGTTTAACATTTTTTACTTTCAATTTAATTTCAAATTTAAGTGTCCAATTTTCTATGTTAGGGTCAGTAAATATTGTCTAAAAAATCCCATTCTCTATTTTTTTGAAATTTTCTTGGAAGGGATCAATCGAATTTTTCAACCGAATTGAATTAAAATTCAATTCAATTCAATTTTTCAAAAATCGATTTTTCAACGATCACTCAAAAAATTGTCATCAAAATGGAATTAGTCATGGCTCAAAAAATTGATAACAATACCCCTTTGATTACAGCACATTGTTTATGCGATTTGAAAGAGAAAATCGGTTTTTTCATGATTACTGAAAGAATCATCACTAATAGCAATTAAATCAGGGCTTGAAAAGTATATTTCAATGGCTTCTTAATCAAGTTGAAAAATGGTGAGAACAGCATCATTGCTTATCAAGTTACACAATACCGTTATGAGCTTTTTATATAAAAATCTCTATCTCTATTAAACTCAGGTACCAGTTTAGTATGTTGAATACTTATATTGATTCATGCTCCCGACTAACTTCTGACAGAACCTGGGTTAAACTCTGGCTCAATCCTGAATAAACCCTGATTAAATCCCGGCTATTGATTAAACCCGGACTTGAAACGAATTCGAATCTTGAAAGGGTCTGAATGTAGAATTATTTGACAGAACGAAATAATACGCAAAATTTTGATGACATTTCAATTAATGATAGTACTATGCCATGAAAAAATGGAAGAAGAGACTAGTGAAATCAGAATTAAAACAACGAGAACTCAATTTATTTTAAAAAATGCCCTTATGCACCTGTTTTTTTTTCATTTTCCTTTGAATTATTCTGAATAAAAATGTCACGATGCTTCTCCATGGAAAATGCCTTAATCGACAAATGCATTTTATCCAAAAGCCCCACGATAATTAAATTCTCCTCCCAATTCCAGGTGAAATAGCTCTCCTCCTGGACAGGCCGAGGGCGGCAACAGTGATAGCCCGCGGTCCCCTAAAATGCGTTAAACTCGATAGAGCACGTTTCGAGCGGGTCTTGGGGCTGTGCGCAGACATCCTAAAACGAAACATCACCCAGTACAACAGTTTCGTCTCCTTGTCAGTGTAAACCCCCCTCCACCGCCAACTGTGACCCTGTCTTTCGTGTAAAAAAGAAGCCACAAGGGATTCAAAACCGGTACACATCTCATTGTTATAATTTTATTATTTTATTAATCTCATAATTTATCAAATAACCAATGGTTAAATTCATACTGTATCGTTGGACACTGTAATAAATATAATTCTAGTGAACGATCCAGTCAAAAATTCAAAACTCAAATTCTATAAAAGAAATTTATAAATTAAAGAATAACGAACGAGGAAATCATTTTATTTATGCACAATAAGGGCTTCGATCGCAGGTACAGATGTGATCCAAAAATTCGTCGTCTCCAATAAATCCCGTAATTCCCTGGATAAACTTTGAAGTGTTCTCTCACCTCTAGAGAACCAAGAAAAATTAATTTCCCATCTCAAACAGTTCATTCACCCCACGAATCTCCATTGAAAACGTAAAAATCATTAAAAACATCCTAAAGTGACACTCTATGCTCCTCTTCAAGTACAAATGTGCTCCTGCAGATGTCTTCAGAATCCCCGAGTCCATCGTCCCTCGAAATGCTCTTGAATCTGTGCCAATTCCCTCCTCATCACCCGGATCTCCAGTCGTGCGAGACCTCTTTCACCACCAAAAAGTGAACTCCCCCGAGTGAACTATCCTGGCTGCGGCCCACCAATGAAATTGTCCTACTAATAATCCTTCGCTAATCAGACGTGATGATTAAATAAAGAAGTCATCCTGGAAAATGACGAGAGGCAGCTCGATTGAATTCTTTGTTCCCCGAGATACCTCCGACCGTTGAAAATGCGACGAACGTCATGTACAGATTAATACACATGTATGCAATAACGAATACATGTATACAATTAATAAACACGTATGTACAAGTGATTTATGTACAGCGCGGTCATGCGCGAGTAAATTTTCTCTAATACTTTTTTTTGTGTTTTGTGGACGATTAAGGATTAAAAAGGACATTTTTCGATAATTGGTGATGATTATTTTTTTTTTTTTTTCACCAAGCACCAATTGAGCCTGTGCTCGCTTTGCAATCGAGTTGCTGGCGCTCGTTATCGGCATAAATTAATCCAAAATCAGTCACAAATTCATAAAACTTGTCCAATGATTCAAAGGCCAATTCCGCAACGATGAAATCAACCGCCAAATTTTGCCGATAGCTAAACAGCAGAAGAAATAATGAGATTAGTTGGGATTAAAATCAGATAATTTTGGGGTAAAATTGCATAAATGGGATGGATAGGGAGCAGCAACAGTTTTTTTTTCTCCTGAAACAGAACATCTTTGATTCGTTAGACGTACAGGTGGGGCCTCTGCGATTCCCCCCAGTAGTCTGTGAATGTCATTAGATGAGAACTTTTTTTTTCCCACGAGTGTGAGAGGATTAATTGGTTGTAATTAATTAGTGTGAGGTATACATACGACTTTATCATGTTCTTCAAGGCGAGCTTTCGCTCTCTGGCTATGAACCAGTCCATGAGGAAGCCTGCCATGCAGGGGGCTTGCTTGTAGAGCTTGAAGAACATGTGATAATTAGACAACCACCAGGCAGACCGGACGCGCAGGGCGTGCTTTATGCATTCGTGGGCTTTATCGGTCTCGGTCAAGTCTGCTATTATTGTGGTGAGATCTGGGAAGGTGAATAATTGGTGAATTTCGGGGGATTCTGGGGGAGAGATCGAGGAAATCAGCAGCTGAGTGGAAAACTTGGTCAGTAGCGAAGCGGTTGAGGTAGCGCAATTTTCGTAAGAACCTTTTTTGCAGCTCTCAGTTCACCCTCCAAAAGAGGTCATGTCAAAATTTTTGCTATCTGGCTTAGATTCCGAGATATTCATTGAAAACCAACCGTCAAAATTGAGTTGAACTGTTGTTGCGCTTCACTACTGATTTCATGAGGCATTTCAGGGAAGAATGTCTGAAGAAATTTACTACAAATCGTGAATTGCGAGGTGAACTGACTACAATTTTATCATAAAATAATTTCCCATGAAATAATACGAATTGTGTTGAAAGTGTGGAGCGATTGTCTTGAAATTTCATTAAAAAATTGTCAACTAACGATGTTATGTCACGTTTAGCCACTCAGCTACAGGATTAAAGCCTATAAAATAGAATAGAATACTCCATACCTTGGGTGTTCTTGGTGAAGATGTAGTAGAGTATGCGATAAGCTACAAACTCACACCGATTTTCCCCCTCGAGATCCTGATAAAGCATTCTCAACTGTGTCTGACACTGATTAAACTCCTCGTGATCACCCTTCTCTAGTGCAACACGCGCATGTGTTTCGTAAACGTGTATAGTAAATGAATCCCTAATACCCTGTACTGTCAAGTCTTGACGAATCGATTTTAACTGATCGCACACGTATCTGTAGTCCTGGGCGGCAAGCCACTTGTCTTTCACGTGCCCCAGGGAGTTTTTCAGAACACTTACCGGTCGTACGGCTGACGCCGCGGGGGCCTTTAACAAAAATTCATCTCGTCAATATTCAGTGAGGATTAACAATCGTCGAAGAATGATGAAAAGTAACTGCAGTCCATTTTTTTTTTCATCATTTTTTTATTCTTCTGGGGAGAATGCTCTTGTGGGGAATGGATTTTCTAACAAATAATGTCTGATGTGTTTTTATAGAATTGATTGTTGTGAAGATATTTTTTATGTTTAGAGAATGAAAAAATGTGAAGTGTGAATAAAACGTTTTTGTTGAGTTCCTATTTATCTTGTGAACCAGTGGTTTTAGAAGAAAACGTCACTAACGTTTTTTGTGGAGAATTGAATTTCCAACAAAAAATGTCTCATCACATTTTTCATTAACGCCACTGGTTATCGAGATATTTCGATATTAAAAAAGATGTAAAAAACTGCCATTTTAGTTTTCGATTTCAACGATTTTTCTAATATTGAGAATTTAGGTAAAAAATTATTGATTTATCAAAAAAATGGCTTTCGACAATTCGTTTAAAAAATGGATCAGCTATTACATTTAATCATTCACCTATTCACTACATAAGAATTCACTAAAAATTAAAAATCGAATGTGAATTCGTTCTTTTCCATCTGAACATCTCCCCTGAACGTATTGTTACTTTTAATTTTTCATTATTCTTTTCTCTCGTTTTACCCCATTGATCATTTAAGGATATCCAAGTATATTTCACAGTTTGGCATAGACTACACTATAAATTCAATCATCAAATTTGTTAATTAAATTGTGAGAAAAATTGGGAAAAAATCACGAATATTCAGCGTCATTAAAACTGACTTTTGCACAAAATTGTTATTTTTAAATAAATAAGTGAAATTGTTTAAACTTTCCCCAACCAAATTTTTTTAGGCATGAAATCGACTTCTGGTAAAATTTTGAATATGAATAAATTTGTTGCAACTCCTAACAAATGATTTTTATGGTGGAAAATTGAATCTTTATAAATTATTTATAGAAAATGCTCGTAATTTTCTATAAATAATTTATAAAGATTCAATTTTCCACCATTTTTAAAATTATTTCATAAATTATTTCCTCCAAAAGTAAAATTTCTAATTATTTTCTAGACTAAAAACTCTTTTCTACAGTTTAAATAATCAAATCATAGTAAAATATTTGACCGGAAGAATAATTTTTTATTTATCCCGTAGCCCCATTTGAATTACCACTGATTTTTTGTTTCTGGGATAAATTTGAGATATTCTCCCGGGTAAAATAATCCATCGAAGATCGAAATTTACTTTTTTTCTTATCTGACGTTTTCGTTACCCGGATCTGCAAGCATAAATCTGAATCCGGTCATCGGTTTCGGCTGTAGGATTCGTGTTCAACAAATAACTACAATAAAATGGCCAAAAAACAGCCCAAATCCCCTGGATATCCCCAATTCTCAATCCACTTCCCCCAAATTCCCCCAAAAACAACACGAATTAAACTCACAGAAGTAAGACGAAGATACGGTTTCTCGATATCTTTGCAAGTCCCCACAATGTGCAATCCTGTGAAATCAAAGTCATTGGCGTCATCCCTACAGGAACTCCTGTTAATACTATCATGAAATCTAGCAGCCCTCTGCTGCAGTTTCTCCTTACTCCCTAACTCCTCGCTCCCCCCCAACCCGAACTCCGAATAGAAATGCGATTTTCCCTGTTTTCCCTTTTTACTCTTTTTGCTATCCCTCGTGGTCTTTCCACTCCTCGTCGACTTCTTACTCTTACTCTTGTACTCGTACCCCCTCTCGCTACTCGACGACGAGGACGAGCTTCTGCGATACTTTCTCGCAGGTGGACTGTGCGATCTCGATCTCGATCTTGACCTCGACTTGTCACGACGATTAATGGCAGAGAGACGAGCGCCCAATCTAGCCCCAAGTGACGTTGATAGGCCAGATTTGCGCATGCCTCCCTGTCCCATGACAATTGTACTCTGTTTCAAAATAACATTCTGCTGTGGTTTTATAGTCATTGTCATTCGTTCACTGTGAATACTTGGCAATGGCTCCTTGTCCCAATTTTTAATCCACAGTGAGCCATCATTCGCTGAACGTGTTATTTTACCCTTCAATATTATTTCAACCTGATCCTTGTCAACAGCTGTTTTGCACTTTTCGTAGCAACGATTCACGTAATTCTTGAGGCAATCGGGCCAATCACCAACTGGATTTGTCGTATTACCTACCATTGATTCTTTAGCAATTACTGGGGGAGATTGTGCCACTGGGACGTGAGGGATTTTTGCCTGGCTGGGGACCTCGGGGGCTGTTTTCGTTAGTGTGGGAACTGTGGGGACTACTGGGGTCTCGGCTTTCACTGGCGGCAGTGGTGGCAATTCGGATTTAATCTCGATTGTTGGTTTGAAAGTCTGGGGTTGATTAGTTGCCTGAAATGTTGGGGTGAATTGTTGCTGTTGTTGTTGTTGTTGCTGCTGCTGCTGCTGTTGGGCTAAGTTTTTATTTCTTTTTCTTTTCTTCTTCGCTGCACCGCTATTTCCTGATGGAATGAAACCAAGCCCGGATTTTTTATTAGGAAGGTTAAAACGAATTTGAGGATTACTAAATTCTGAAAAGAGAAAGGGAGAGGTGGATTATTAGATGGCGGAGCGCGGGGGGGGGGCAGAGCTGGGCGGGACTTAATGGTCGGATGGTAATTTGATTTTTTAATAATTTATGGTGATGAAATATTGGAAGTTTTTTTGAGACATTGGAAAGTGGAACTGAAACTGCTGTAGTCAATCGTCGATATCTCCCGATCAAATGGAGCGATTTGGAGGAGTCAGATTCCATTTTGAAACTGGGAAAAATACCTTGAAAATAACAGAAAAATCGTGGAATTTCACTCTGTCAATCTCGAGTTATTGACGATTGAAAAAGGCTGCATTTCATAATTCTGTAGAAGACGATGTAAAACGAACTTTTTTCAATGATGAATATCTCAGGAACAAATGATGCGATTTGGATATTTCGAGGCTCGTTTCAAAGCCTGAAAAAATATCTTCAAAATGAAAAAAAAGTCGTGAAATTTCACTCTGTCAATCTCGAGTTATGAGTGATTGAAAAAAGGTTCACTTCATAAATTGAATTGTTGGGAATGAATTTGACGAAAACATGAATAAATCATCAAGATTTTGGATAATATCGGGCCCAGCTCTGAGTGTTGCATGTGTTCACGAGTAATACTCACGATTTACGTCATTCTGTGGGCCATTCCACCCGTTATAGGGAAAGGAATTGTACATGAACATGGTATGATTTTGCAATTGATTTTGATTCGATTGGTTATTATGCTGAGGAGGTGGTTGAGTGGGTGGTGGTGGTCCTGGTGGTAGTGGGGGTAGATCAGCGTCATCGTCGAGGGCCATTGGCTGACCTGGAACAGTCGGCTGCTGTGGCTGCTGCTGCTGCTGTTGTTGTTGTTGTTGGGGTTGTTTAGCCTGATTATTTTGAATTGTCTGGGGTAGCTGCATGGGATTAAAGGGTTGTCCATATCCTGGCATCATTCCTTGGTTGTAGTAGTACATTTGGCCTTGATGGTTGTACCCCTGACCATACATTTGACTGGGAGAAAAGGAAAGAGATGAGTAAATGTCATTCAATCGAGAATTAATGGAAAAATGAGACGACTCTTTTTTCTAAAAAACAAACAAACAAAAGACAATTGAATGCCATTCTATAGATCATGAATAAATGAATCATAATTGTCCAAATTATTTGGGTCAGAAGAAAATAGAATAATTCAACTTTCTTAATATTGCGTTTACTGAGGTTTTCTTCGAACAAAGTTGATTAGAATTAATAGCTAGAATTATGAGATTATCTCACATTTTTGACGTTAAGGATAGGAGAATCTGAATGCAATATAGTGAAAATGATGATCGATTTTTTCACTTTGAACAAATAATATTAATATCCAAATACAAAATTTCTGATATGAATAAAAAGAAGCTGTGACTCAATATTCCAAATGAAGTTTTAATTTTTAATTTGGTGCTGATAACACGAGATGACAATATTCTAAGCACGGAATTATATTGATGAGATGAACAACAGATTAATTGAATTACCGTGTGAACTAACTAAAAATTGATAACAGTGTGGGCACGCACTTTTACCAGAGTATCAACAAACATTGAATTCCAGAAATTCACACTCTAAAGTGTGTTCCAGAAGGAATTGAGTTGTAATTATGATTAAAATCTTATTCAGTGAGGACGGGAATAAGAGCATGAGCAAATAATTTATTGTAATATGAAAATTTAACAGCTGAAAAATGGGGAGAAACTGGGAGAATAAATATCAACAATTAATTGAAAAAGGAAAAGCCAATCCAACACGAAAAAGAGCACAACGAAAGGGCATCAATTTTTTCGCCACTCACTTTGGAAATGTCTGATATAGAGGGACATTCCCCGGAGGATACTGCCATGTCATGTTGGCCATCTGGTTCTGGTTGATCTGCTGCTGAATAAAATGCTGATGCTTCTGTTGAGATGCAACAGCTTCACTTTCCGACATTGCCTGGCGTAATGTATCACCCCAATATCTCTCTACCTCTCTCTACCTCTCTCTCTCTCTCTCTCCTACCTTGTAAAATGTCGGACCCTACCAAGTCGACATACAACTCCACGCGGATACAAATTATTAAATTTTACCGTCCTTTATTATTGAATGTAACACAAGCGATCCAACGATGGCGATGAACTCCGCTGTTATTCACTTGTCAGTGGCTTTTTTATCCTGGATAAACTGCAATTAACGGAACACTGAAAACTCACGACACGTTAGTTGAAAGCATAAACGCCATTTTGGGAAAAGGTTGTGGGTCAATTGATCAGGCAGCTGCGCAGTTAGTGGCAGGTCTGCCAATATGGCGGATGGGAAAAGAAGCCCTCTCGAGCTGCAACAGCACCGAACTGCTGCAAACTGCACGAGATGCAGACGAAAACGACGGTTTTCAGTGTTGTGTCCCAGCTATTCTACAAATATTATTAAATAATATAATTGCGAAAAAGTTACGAGTCAGCATCGCATTACAACACGAGACCGTTTTGTCTTAAACTTAAACAGCTGAATTTTTGAGGAATATTTCCGAATCTAAGGGAGATGGCGAAATTTTTGTAATTACCTTTTTCGTAGCTCTCAATTCGCCCTACAAAAAATTTCCTAACGAAAATTTGGCTATCTGCCTTAGATTTCGATATATTCATCGAAAATTGATCAATAGTCAATGTCGACTTGAACCGTTTTACCGCTTCGCTGCTGATTTTATTCGTCAGGAAACCGTTACTCTTTAGTTAGAAATTAATAAACTGAAGTATCTTAAATTGCTGAGATTGAGTCCATATTAGTCGAGCATTCTACTGTTCACAACATGAGATAAATCGATAATTGCCGAAAATAAGGGCGGTGTTCAATTTTTTTCATTGATCCCTTGCATTCAATTGCATAATCTTCTTTACATTCTTTCAGATGTTAAAATTTCAAAACATCTCCATGCTGTCGATGTCAGCCCCCAGATCAACAAAATCATCGCTGTAATCTTCAGATCTCCTCTGACGATAAATAACAGTTCTACAAAATTTAGGTGTTTTTTGCCCTGAGTATGAAATTACCACCTCTAAATAGATTTTTTCACGCTGAATCCGAATCTATTCTCAGTTTCTCTCGAAGTGCGATCGTTATCGCCGACAAAAATTTTTAAATCTCAAAAAAGGGCCAAAACACTTGTTAAAAAAAATATATAACCGCTAGATGGATGGATCCCATTTAAAATTCAGCTAATTCACGAAGTTTCGATCTTCTCGATGAGACTGTCCATTTTAATATCAGTGTCTAGGCACACCTAAAGAAAATTCTAGATTAATTAATTAAAAATGCAACTACAGAATTAAAAACAGAATGAAAAACCTCATTTTTTACAAAGTGTAACGCATTTTATTTTCATACCAAAAGAAAAACCATTATTTGATAATCGATAAAAAATTGTTCGTTGAAAGTGTTCACCCACGAAATATTTTTTACCCAAGAAATCAATCACATTTCCAACGACATTCACTACGAAATTCATCAGTACTTTGCCGTTGCACGTATTCTATAAAAAATAACCGAAGATTATGTACATTAAAACTATCACCGATGAATTCCGTGGAGAGCATCACTGACCGACACTGCAACAACTCAAATAGACTAATGTCAACAATTATCGTGATGCTGGTGAGTGTGGATGTGCTTCAACACTGTCAATATCATAATCTTTTTCCCATTCTTCGAGATGTTAAAATTTCAAAACATCTCCATGCTGTCGATGTCAGCCCCGAGATCGAGAAAATCGTCGCTGTAATCTTCGATTCTCCTCTCATGATGAACAATCATCTGTTCCGAGTGATCTGGATCGTCTGTGACTGGACTGGGGGGTGGATTGGATACAGGCCTGTTCGAATCCCCTGGGTCTCTCTCCATGCCCTCACCCCTCCTCAGTCTGGCCTCCTCGGCAATTTGTCTCGTTGACAATTCAACTCTCGTCAGGAGTGCTGGCAAATCCTTCTCAGATCCATCTGCGAGAAAAAAAATGAGGAGAATGTTTTTAAAAAATTTTTGCATTCGTTTGAAGGGTAAATTCCACTCACTCCTCATCAGGGCCTTCGCCTTCTGACGTATTCTGTCCCTCTGATCAGCCCTCTTCTTCTCTGTACATTCCTTCTTGTCAACGAAAAATATCTCACGGATTTTCTCCTGTGGAATATGATCGTCGTTCTTCACGAGGTAGAGATAAACTCCCCCTGGAGTTCTTCTCCTTGATCCGTTCATTATCAGCATTCCCCCGTCTTTCTCGATTTCTTTAGTCTTCTGGTAGAACTCTATTGCTTTCTCCTTGCCAATAATATCCACTACTTTCTCTGTAATTAATAAGTGGAACTATTTGTTCAGAAATTCTCTTTTTAAAAAAGGGGCAATTTCTCGAATGAAGGGAGAAAGTAAGGCGGTTTTCATGAGTGCAAGCGTCTTGCGTCGAATTTTTATGAACAGAAGAGAATTGAATACCATTCTATGAAACAGGAATAAACGAATCACAATTATCCAAATCATTTAGGTCAGAGGAAAATAGAATAATTCAACTTTCTTAATATTGCGTTTAGTAAGGTTTTCTTCGAACAAAGTTGATTAGAATTAATAGCTAGAATTATGAGATTATCTCACAGTTTTGACGTTAAGGATAGGAGAATCTGAATGCAACATAGTGAAAATGATGATCGATTTTTTCATTTTGAACAAATAATATTAATATCCAAATACAAAATTTCTGATGTGAATAAAAAGAAACTGTGACTCAATATTCCAAATGAAGTTTTAATTTTTAATTTGGTGCTGATAACACGAGATGACAATATTCTAAGAATTCTACGGAATTATATTGATGAGATGAACAACAGATTAATTGAATTACCATGTGAGCTAACTAAAACTTGATAACAGTGTGGGCACGCACTTTTACCCGAGTATCAACAAACATTGAATTCCAGAAATTCACAGTCAAAAGTGTATTCTGGAAGGAATTGAATTGTAATTATGATTAAAATCTTATTCAGTGAACATGGGAATTAGCACCTGAGCTAATCATTTATGTTAATATAAAAATGTAACAGCTGATAAATTGAGGCGTACGAACCAATTAAACAATTAATTGAAAAAAGGAATGTCAGAGAGTGTTGACTCACTTATCAAAGAGTCTTTCTTCTCATTAAGCTTCTCCGCAATGTCATGAGCGACTTCCTCGTCAGTCGCCTCGACACTGACCGATAATTCGTCAATGGTTCTCCCAGAGCCCCTCTGACTATCGACGTCCATGGAGTTCCGTCGTCTTCCCAGCCTCAACTTGACATTTCTCCTGTCAGAGTTGGTCCTCTTCCTGGCCCTCCTGGGTCCAGGGTCCTCCTCTCTGTCGTCCTCAGAGCTGTTGTTCTCCAGGCTAAAATCACCATTGAGCTGGAAATCCACTGGGAGGTCGTAGTTCTCGACACTGCGACCCTGATGCATCTTCCTGGTGACACCGCAGGACACTAGGTCCTCGGTGAGCACCTCCTCCTGGACCTGGGTGCACCAGATCTTGTATTTGTCGGTTTTCTTCGCCTCCTCCGTGGTTTTTCGTCGTTTTGCCTTCATCTTGGGGCGTTTCACCTTCTTGGGGGCTGAATCTGAGTCTGTGTCACTGGCTGTGTCCGACGTCTCATCGGAATCGTCGCTGTACGTGGTTTTTGATACTTTCACTGTTGTTACCACTGTGTGGGGCCTCTGGAGAACGTTGTAGGGTCCGAAGGTGTCGATTGACTGGAGAAGTTGAGAGGTTATTTCGTTTTTTAGGATTTTTAGTGGAAATTGTTATCCAAATCGAGGAGTTGGGAAGAAAACGAAAAAATTGGATTTCTTAAATCATCAATATATCTCGACTCAATGATGCGATTCGGACGAATCGAGGCTTGTTTTCAAGCCTGAAAAAATACCTTCAAAATGAAAGAAAAATCGTCGAATTTCACTCTGCGGGTGTCGAGTTATTCGCATTTGAAGAACAGATCTATTTTATCTTTTTCAGGAGATGGTGCAGAATGCACTTTTTTCAATTAAAAATATCCCCCGTTCGAACGAAGCGATTTATATAAATCAGGGCTCATTTTAAAGGCAAATTTTCAAGCTTCAAGACGAGAAAAAAAATTTGAAATTTCACTCTGCCGATCTCGAGTTATTGACAATTGAAAGTTGAGTTTCAATCGAGGAAGGAAAATTGTGAGAAAATAGAGAAATCATTCATTATTTGAGGAATTCTACTGTTAATTTTAGGTTTGAAGGTTTCTTTTGATCATTTTTGACTGGGCTTGGCGCGATTTTGAAGGCAAATTGGCTGAAATTCATCGGGATGAGTGATTGAATGCATAAACTGATCATCTGGGGAATGAATATTCGAGGTTAAATGCTGGGGCTGTCAAATAAAATTGCCATGATTTACCTCGTCATCCACCACTTCCCCGTCCTCCAGCTCCAACGACTCAGCCTCCATGTTACTGGAGCTGTTTTATCGAAACTGGGACGTAATTGGGCTGGTTTTGGGGCTAAAACACTGACGCTTCAAATGATTACGCAGGTCATTTTTCGGAAACCTCGGGATTTCGCTTTTACCTACTGGTTAACACCCAGTAATTTTCTGTTGGTGTGGCAGAGATCTGCAGAAATTATGGGGTTTGAACGGTTCAAGGCCGTGAACTTGAAATTTCGATGGGGATTTCTGGTGCAGGAAATTCGATTTTATCAAAATTTCTATAATAATGCAATAAATGCATTTATTGAGTGAAAAACTGCTCCATTTTTTCGATTCTACAATTTTTTAATGGAATGAATATTCATATTGTGGTCGTGGAGCCAAAGGGGCGTAAGTCGGGTGTATATGCAGGGCTTTTACGCCCTTTTGGCTGTACGACGACGTTTTCCTTCACAAGTCCATGAGAAATTGTTCTTTAGTAGACAATTTATGTAGATAATTGTATTCAATTAAATATTAATTAACATGTGTTTAATATATTATATAATATATTAATATAAAAAATTATATTAATGTAAAATATGATATATTTCTAGAAATTTTAAGAATTCATTCCCCATCTTCAAATATGAAAATTGAATCCAAAATGATAATAAAATAATCTAAAAATCCAGTTATGCTTCACCAAACTGTCAGTTTTCCAATTTTTTTAACAAAAAGTAAACATTTTCAATCGATAAAAGACAATTGCGCCTAATAAACTCGTCAAATTAATCCACTCAAATATTATTCTTGTAAAAAATTGATTCTCTTGAAAAATTCATTGAATCCAAAAAATTTCGTCATGCGTTTCTAAATTACGAGTAAAAATTGAGTCTCAAGTTTTTAATTTCATAAACATTTATATTTCACTCAATAAATGCATTTATTGCATTTATATTTCTCTTGACAACATCACAAATAAAAACTCTAGAAAAAAACATCAAACGATTGAACGTGGCAAACTCCTAAACTAGATATATTTAATTATGAATATCTCAAAAAATCAATTCTGTAAAAAAAATCTTTAAAAAAATACATAAAGCAATTAAATCCAATAAACTCATAAAAACGATTCATTTAATTATTAATCTCTCGAAAAATTAGTGCTCATAAAAAATCCCTGAATAAACATTCAACCAAGAATTCATAATAAACTATTCCAATAAATCCCCTCACGCATCACCAAATCTTCCACAATTTCTAAATTGCAAATGAAAATTAAATCCCAAATTTTCAATATTATAAACACTTACCTTTCCCTTCAAAAAATCACATATAAAAAATCTAAAAAAATACATAAAACGATTAAATTTGAGAAACTCATGAAATCCATCCATTTAATGATTAATCTCTCAATAATTAATTCTCTCAAAAAACCCGCAAATAAAAAACCTAAAAAAATACATAAACCAATTAACCCTAATAAACCCATAAAAAGCCATCCACTTAATTATTAATCTCTCAAAAAATTGGTTCTCTTAAAAAATCCGCAAATAAAAAATCGAAAAAAAAATACATAAAACAATCCACCACATCCCCACTTACATTTCCCTCAACAGTCCCCAAATAAAAATCTAAAAAAATACATAAACCAATTAAACCAATTAAACCCATAAAAATCCATCCATTTAATTATTAGAATCTCTCAAAATATTATTCTCTTGAAAAATCCACAGATAAAAAACCTAAAAAAGTACATAAACCAATTAACCCTAATAAACCCATAAAAAGCCATCCACTTAATTATTAATCTCTCAAAAAATTGGTTCTCTTTAAAAATCCGCAAATAAAAAATCGAAAAAAAAATACATAAAACAATCCACCACATCCCCCACTTACATTTCCCTCAAAAGTCCCCAAATAAAAATCTAAAAAAATACATAAACCAATTAAACCTAATAAACCCATAAAAATGTACTTAATTATTAATCTCTCAAAAAATTGGTTCTCTTTAAAAATCCGCAAATAAAAAATCGAAAAAAATACATAAAACAATCCATCACATCCCCCACTTACATTTCCCTCAAAAGTCCCCAAATAAAAATCTAAAAAAATACCTAAACCAATTAAACCCATAAAAATCCATCCATTTAATTATTAGAATCTCTCAAAATATTAATTCTCTTGAAAAATCGACAGATAAAAAACCTAAAAAAATACATAAACCAATTAAACCCAATAAACCCATAAAAATCCATCCATTAAATAATTAATCATCGTTGTCTCATCAGCACTGAAAAACGGAAACTCGTACCCCATTGACTATCAATCATACGCCAACGGTGGTGGAGTTACCAAGTCTTAATGCAATCTCTAACGACAATTAACCGAAATAAATCCCCTCCCTCGCCCCCCAGAGTCATTCGCCCCCCTCTCGTCGCCCTAAAACAGAAAAAAAAAATTACAAAAAGCTGAAATTTTTTTTTAATGTTCTTACAGTTGGGACACCGGGTAGAATCATGGATCGTGCAAAAAAGAACGCCATTCGTACGACCTTGACCGGAGTCTGCGTGTATAGTGGCCAGGTAAGGCTGTCTAGCGAGTCTCAAAGAAGTCCCCTTGCACTTTCCTCCATTTAATGCCACTGTAACGATTCATCAAATCGAGAGTTGAAAAAATGATCGAAAACAAAATTTTTCCTCCCTCAAAACTGGGACTGGGTTTTGGGGGCTTGAAACCCCGCTCTATCGCCTCTCCATTCAATATACCTGATTAATCTCACTGTAAGAACATTTTATATCATAAATAAACAATTTAAAAAATTAGTCGCGCATCGATTGTGTGCGAGATAAATTACAATAACTCAGCTTTCCCATTTTTATTTTCCCTCTCGTTCAGCCTTGATCAAGAAAGCTGGCGTGAAGGTTCTCAATCCGACAGATGGGATTAATATCGAATTAAAGTTAAGAATTGTCTGTCCAGTGAATTTCAAGAAAAATAAACTAAAAAGCTTAATTCAAAATGAATAAATGAATGAATGAATAAATGAAAAATCCCTGAGTAATTAATAATATCTTCATTAACAGAAATCTAATGTAAAATGTTGAAAAATTCCAGTTTTCGTCTCGGTAAATAAATCATTTCAGTTACGTCTCAATGAATTAATTAATAAAGCTTGGATAAGCCGGGAATAATTCTCCATTCGTTGAAGTGAAACTGCAGACTAAAATTTCGAGAGATTTAAAAAATTAAGTAGAAAAGTTCGGATCAGACTCACCAGTTCTCGCGCCCTCGCCTCCAGAAAAAAAAATCATTAATTATCACATGACGAGTGCAAAGTACCGGAGACAAAGAGATTTACCCCGAGAATTAAATATAGATAATTTCTGAAGTGCGATTGAAGTGGTAACGCGAAGAGCACTGTTCAGTCGTGGATCGAGCGTAGTCGTGTGAGGGCTGACTGAGGGTAGAAGAGGAAGCCGATGCCTGAAGCCGGGCGTGCAGCAAATAAGAAGGAGAGACAGTAAAAAAAAAAAAAAAAAAAAAGAAATGTGTGCAAAGAGGAGAAAAAGAAACGAGAAAATAAAGAAAAACCATGGGAGCCCTTGAAAGGCGAATTGGAAAGTATGTCGGAGGTGCATGAGCATTGTACAAATGACTCTAGAACTCATTCAAGACATTTTTCATCATTAAATCATTTTTTTGGGCGACCCTCACCTTGAAATATTTTAGAATAAAAGGAAGGGAGGACTTGCGGGGAAAAATTGTAATTCTGCCTCTTATGGGTTGAAGAGGATTTTGATTGCTTTATTTCGGTTTTGGTGGGGGTTTATTCATCTAGAAAAGGCACGAGAGTTGGATCATTGGATAAATTGATTTTTTTGTCTAAAATGCCAAAATTGTCAATTAAATTGCGAGAGAAAAATTTGAAATGAAGCATGAATGTTCAGCATCACTCGAATCACATTTTGCGCTGAATTTTTACTTTTTTAAATACTCGTTGTTCATGAATAAATAATTGACATTGTTTAAACTGTCGGAAAATTTTTTTTTTTAGGTATGAAATCGAGTTCTCGTAAAATTCTGAATATGAATAAATTTGGGACGATTCCGAACGCATGATTTTCGTGGTGGAAAATTCATTGTTTATACATTATTTATAGAAAATGCTCGTAATTTTCAAAAGTTGCAATTTTTAAATTATTTCATTCATCTTCATCCAAAAGAAAAATTTCTAAAGGTATTTTAACATTTTTAAACAGTTCATTATCGAAATTCAAATTCAGACCTGCAAATTTTGAGTTATTATTATTAATAATTATTATGAATTAATTTTTATCGCCCTCTGTCATAGAGCGATGACTCTGAAGGGCAGATAATAAATAAATGAAATTTTAAAAAAATCAAAATTATTAATTAATTCGACAATTATTTTATTGAATAATTGTAAAATGTCCGAAAACTTGGGGTCAAATGGGGCTCAAATTGAAGCTCTGATGTTCAGCTAACAAAGTAGAAAAGCATTTCACTGGAGAAAAACTAGTCAAAGTTGTAGAATAGTAGGGACAACTTGCGAATAAACATTGCACTTCATTGTTTTATCGATTGAAAATTAAAAATTTTGATTATTGTATTTGGGTATTGTTCAGGCGTTTATTCATTTAGAAATGTCATAAGAGGTCTCAACAAAGAGTTAAATAATTGGATAAATTGAATTTTTTGCCTAAAATGACGTGAAATACATTTATCATCATTAAATCATTTTTTATTTAGTTGACCCTCACCTTGAAATCCATTCTTAAATTGAAATAGAATACTAGAAAGGACAACTATCCACAAATAAGGAATTAAAATCCATCCGTTCACCGATTGAAAATCATTTTAAATGAAAAAAAATGAGTATTTCAAGACCAAAGGGCACAATAAAAATAATTACTCTTCATTCCACTCTAAAATCTCCTCCCAAGAGCTTCCAACAACGAAATACATTATTAATTAATCACAAATCCATGGAATTACGTGTTAATGTCTTGATGCACCGCGTTAAAAA